TGCAGGGCCAGTTGGATCTTCTGCAGGTTGAGCTCCATGGTGGTGGTGAAGTCCTTGTGCTTCTTGATGGCCTTGTCCACCCCTTCTACCGTGTCGGGGAGCTCAGCGTGGACCAGGGTGGATTCCTGGAGAAGGGATGGAGGTGGTGGTGGTGGGTGGGTTCTTCTTCGCTCTACCTTCCAAGTCAACTGTAGGGTCAACGGGGACCCTTCCACCCATCTCTACCTGGTTGTAGAGGCTGCCCGGGCACTGCTGGACATCACGGAGGAAGAGGTGGAAGGCGTGAGATTGCACCAGCACCTCCCGCCGCGTCTCCCAGCTCTGCAGCAACTTGCCCCACCCCGCGTCCAGCTTCTGCAACCACTGCTGCAAGGAGAGGTAGGGGACCTCGGTCTCCTCCAAGGCCAGCAGGTCGCTGGCCGCTTGGATCTTGGCGTAGTCCTCCTCGTAGCCGTTGATCTCCTCCTTGAGGGTCGCGTGGTGGTTCAACAACCTCTCCGCTTCGCTCAAACTATCGGGGAGCTCCTGGGAGGCAACGGCCGCTTGAGTCTTCACCAACCAAGCCAAGAAGTTGTCCAAGTCTTGGATGAACTCTTGCAAGCGCCCGGCCACGGTCAAAGAGTCCTCGCAACCTTGGAGAGCTCGCTTCAGGGCCTCCCACTCCTCGCTGATCTCCTCGAAGGGCAGCAGGATCTCCAGGGCTCGCCCGGGGTGAGAAGCAGCCAACGCTTCGCCTTCTCGTTGAAGCTCCACCAACCGAGGTTCCAAGACCACCAGAGCTGCCTCCATGGTGGAGAGGCGGCGTTGCAAAGCCAAGACGCCGCCCAGGTCACCGCCGCCCGCTTGGGTGGCTTCGATGGCTTTTCTCTTCTCCCGCACCTGCGCCTTCATCTCGCCACACTCCAGGAGGTAGTTCTGGATCTTCAGGACAGAGCTGAGCTGGCCCTTCTTGCGCTCCACCAGCTCCACCACCCGGTTCCACCTGGGGATGGGGACAGAGGTGGGACAAGACCAGGATGGGAGCCCTGGGATGAGGTTCCCCCCCTTCCCCGGGAGCCATGGGATGAGGTTCTCCTCGGGCGTTGCCAACGCTTGGGGTGGGCTTGGACCATCACGCTGGAGAGCTGGACCCCATGAGGACGTCCCACCAGGCTGGGACAACCAGAGGCTGGGGTCTACAAGCAGCCCCACAGCTGGTTCCCTTCATGGAGGAGCCTCCCAAGAGGGATGAGGTCCAGCCTGGGCACCGCCACCGGCCTTGGCCCATTGCACTGGAGACCTGGACCCCATGGGGACATCCCACCAGGGCGGGACAACCAGAGGCTGGGGTCTACAAGCAGTCCCACAGCTGGTTCCCTTCATGGAGGAGCCTCCCAAGAGGGATGAGGTCCAGCCTGGCCACCGCCCCTAGGCTTGGCCCATTGCACTGAAGACCTGGACCCCACAGGGATGTCCCACCAGGCTGGCAGCACTGCAGGGTTGGGGTCCACCAGCAGCCCCACGTTTGGTTCTCCTCACCAAGGAGCCCCCAAGCAGGGTGAGCTCCACCATGGGCATCACCAACCCTTGGGATGGGCTTGGACCATGGCACCGGAGAGTTGGACCCCATGGGGACATCCCACCAGGCTGGGACAACCAGAGGCTGGGGTCTACAAGCAGTCCCACAGCTGGTTCCCTTCATGGAGGAGCCTCCCAAGTGGGCTGAAGTCCAGCTTGGGCACCACCAACGGGCTTGGCCCATCGCACCAAAGAGTTGGATCCCATGGGGACGTCCCACCAGGCTGGGACAACCAGAGGCTGGGGTCTACAAGCAGCCCCACAGCTGGTTCCCCCCATCCAAGAGTTCTCCCAAAGCAGGATGAGGTCCACCTCGGGCATCGCTGACCCCCCAGGTGGGCTTGGCCCCACAGCTCAGCCCCCTTCCCACACCCATACCTGCTGTTGAGGTGGTCCTGGCAGGAGCGGACCTCCTCGGAGCTGGGGTGGCCCCCGTCCACCAACTGCTGCACCACCTGGTTGACGTCCAAGATGCGTCCCATGACGCTGTTCATCTCCTGGTCCAGGCTCTCAAACCTGGGCAGAAGATTGGAGCGGCGGGGTCCACCAAGGTACCC